CCCGAGAATAAATGCAGTGTAATCCGAACAAGTGAAACGACTGGCTGAGCGAGCGGTGCCAGAGTCGACGACGGACAGTTGGTGAGCTGAGAGCGCGCGAGAGAGACCTGACAGTGAACTAATAAATACGCCGCAGTTGTTGAGCTGCGCGAGTGTGACCTATATACCTGCCGTCCTTGGAGCGAGGGCCGCCTGCGTGTTTGTGTGTGTTTCGGTGCATTCGTAGACTTCACAGCAGCTCGTTGTGAACGTCACTGTTGCGGTGACGCAGTTTCGAGAAGAAGTCGTCGCGACGCACCCAGGACGGTGTCGGCGACCTGCGCGGAGAGCGAGTGTGTAGGAAGGGGCGCGAATGTCCACGGCGGCACCGACCCCCCGCAAACAGCAGTGATGCCCGTGCCCGCCGCTCGCAACCTGCCCTCGCCCACCGACCCGCAGTCCTTCTTCCACTACCCGCCGTCGGCCCCGGACAAGACCTCGCCCGTGGCCGCGCCGCCGGAGAAGGCGAAGGGTCGTGATGACGTGTCGGTGACCACGCTGCCCCCCAGCCCCATCGTCCACCCGTACACCTCGTGCCCGTCGCCCATCTTCCAGCTGGAGTTCCCTCACGACCTGGAGTGCCTGACGCCCAGCCCGGACCCGAGTCGGGCCGGCACTCCCGACGGGTTCCGCCACTTCCTGCAGGTGTCTCTCTCCAGGTCTCCTTCCCCAAGCCTCCCCTTCCCTCCCCCACCGTCCTCCAGGTCTCCCTCCCCAATGCCCTTCCCTCCCCCACCGTCCTCCAGGTCCCCGTCCCCGACCAACCTGGGCCTCCCTTCGCCAGGGGACGTCCACGGCCGGGACTCAGCCTGGTCTCCCTGGTCGTGGGCCATCAAGCAGCCCCCCCCGGCTGCCGACTGCCAGTCCCCACCCAGCTACGCCCACTCCCAAGGCACCTCCACCTCCACTTCCTGCCGTGCCTCCACTCTGTCTCCCGACACGTCCTTATCCACCTCCACCTCAGTGTCCAACAACACCTCCGCTGGCTCCAGCAACCCTTACAGGAGCGAGATTTACACCTCCTCCTACTACACGTGCACCTCGTCGTCCGCCTCGCAGGCCCTCGAGCCCGCCCCTTTTTCCTGTGGCTCCAGTCGCTCGGCCTCCACCGACCCCGCCGTGGCAGCACCAAGGCCCGCTCGCCCCACCACCATTTCCCTGAAGCCCCCGTTCTCTCTCGGGCATTCGAAGGCTTCCTCCGACTCCCGGCCTGTGGCGGCAGCGGCGGGAAGGGTCGAGGTGCTCACGGGGCGGGACCTGCTGTTCGGCGGGTGGCTCGGCTGCGGCCGGACGGCGGGGATGCTCGGCATGCTCTTCTCTGCCGTTGGGAACTGCATGCGGACGGTGGAACCGGCGCAGCGGAACCTCATCGATGAACCGGAGCTGGTGCACGAGGCGCGGGAGGACATGTCGCCTGGTTCCCCCCCCTCTCAAAGGAGCGGCGGAATGGCACGCGAGAAGCAGGTGAGCCGCGCCCCGAGGCCCGAGCTCGATAACGCGCGGCAGGAGCGGGAGGCGTGGGTTCGAAACCGAGACGAGGATATATGCATCATTGAGGAATACTGCGACGTGGAGGAGGAGCTGCCCCAGCACCCAACGCACTCTGTCCCCGGCGTCCACCTCCCCCACGACAACCCTCGCCGCGGGACCAACAACAACAACAACAACAACAACAAGACCATCAACAACAATACCGCCACTTCAAGGCTAGGGAAGTTCGCTTCGGCTGTGAAGGGCTCAGCCTCGCGGCGCCCCTTGGTGCTGCTCATCGGGGAGTCGCTCAGGACCGCCCGTGCGAACAAACGCTCCAGGTCCTCCTCAGGTAGGTACCGAGACGCCGCCGTCAAACGTTTACAGCTACATCACTGATCCGTTTCACTCGACGATACATACTCACAGCAAGTACCTCATATATGCTATTAATACACAAAGATACGAGGAATCTCGAATTAAGTCGTGTAGAGTACAGTTATTATACTTGTCATACCCGGTCTTCATTCGCCATTCGCCTTTAACTTTGAACAAAAGAGGAAAAAACACAGTGACTGTACAGTGTCTGCGTGTCTCAGCCTCACGTGGGCGGATCCTGTCGACATATCAAGTTTATTTTTAACGATTTTCGTCCTCGTTTCCAATGCCGGCAAATTGTTAGTATGCAAATAATATTAGGACAGAGATAGGGTTGAATGGCGGATTTTCCCCGTGCTCTTGTTTACTTATAACGAATCAGAATATACAACACTTGACTTGGATATTCAAATTTATGTGCGTAAACACAAATAAGAGACTGTCAATATAGAGTTACGGAAAGACGAATATTTTTTTTCGGAAACGGATACATTGTTTTATTTATTCATTTGTTTTTCTTGGCACGGTGGCCTAGTTATGCTCCTGGTGTTACGGTAAATTGCATTGGATTAAACCTCGTCTTATAGCGGCCCGGATGCCGTTTTCGTTGACC